CTGCACGTTTTTCACAGCAGAATCTGCACTTTTTTCTTCATGCCAACATGATATTCAATTGTCACGCGAAGACAGTCCATTTTATGAACCCGTCACGGGCCACCAGATGTAGTATGAACATATACTGATATATATTCATAGATAAAACGGATTCTTTCATTTTTCTGGACTGTATAATGACGTGCATCTGAATTTAATAAAATGTGGACGTGAGACGTTAATTATCTTTGACTCACCAACGACAGTGGGTCATTTATTAACAGAATCAAGTTTAACACATCACACATTTACATTAATTGGCAAAAATTGAAAATAACATCTTATTTAGCAGGTTTTACAAGGAAGTAAACAATACGGCAATTGTTTTCTCACTTCAGCAATGCAACAAACGTTAACCACACGGCGGTGGTTGAAAAACTTTGCTTCAGACATTTCTAAAAATATCTGTAATGATTTGCTAGCAGGATAGAAGAATTTAAAGATGGGAAATGAAGTTTATCTTGAGAGAGATGTGTGAGGGAATTTGTCTGTTTTAACCAGAAACATGCACGCTCCTTTGGACCAGCTTGTCCCAACGGTACACTTTGGTTGAAGATCGACTTTTTACCTTTCTGAAGATATGTCAGTTCCGGCGTAAAGTTCCACTTCGAGCCACTTTTCAGCGTCTCCGTAAGAACAGCTAAACCTCGGGAGTCGTGAGATCATCCAGAACAGACTTCATAATTCCTCTGAACTTCTCTCGTCCAGCTTAGTAGCAGATGTACTGAGCATGCTGCATTCCAGCATTCTGCATTCCAGCTTCTGGACTCTGGAACTGCTGAGTTTCAGAACTGCAGAACTACTCGAGCTCTTGCAGAACTTCTTCATCTACTGACTCATACTGGAGGTGGAACCTCTTGCAGAACTCCCCATCTACTCCAACTCGGTTGAACTAGGAAGTACCGACATTTTAAAGAGCTCTATTTCCGGTTCATTTGGGAGTTTCTGATTGGTCGATGGACCAAAACAGAGGTGTGTTTTGTGATGTAAGGTGTTATGAAAAGTCAAGGAAAAAGATTAAGATTGTTTAAGAACAGACAAAAGATATTATGAAGAACTTCAGACTTCGTGGAGTCAATTCTCTAGTATCTTGCTGTAAAAGTTAAACATGACATTTCTTTTTCAGTAAACTTGCAGTTGACCGAAACTTGAACTTTGACCAACTTACACCCTTGCTCATTGAAGACAGAAAATCAGACAATGCATCATTAACCTGATTTCTTCTTTGAATGAGGATTAAAAATCGTTATTACTGTTTCACAGTTGATTTAAAAATGAGTAGTTCACTTCAACATTTAAACATTGTTTGAACTAACACAATTTGATTATCAAACATTTGTAAAATAGTAATGATAATTGAAAGTAGTCTTCTTCCACTTGATTTCACTTTGAAAGAAAGTCTCAGGATGGGTCAACCTGTATTTCTGGATTCAAATCAATGAAATGACAGTTTCTGTCCCATAAGGTCCTTAAGGCCAAATCCTGACCTTAGACTTAGTTCACTACAGTGTGCAATGAATCTGAAATATATGAAAGTTTCATTTTTATCATTACATTATGGAAAATAATGACCTTTATCACAATATGCT